CAGCCATAACGCCTGCTGCTGAAGAGCGCGGCCACTGCAGCCCCGCCCCGGGCTGTGCTGCGGGAACGGGAGCCCAGGTTTCAGGGAAGCCTGGCCCAGAGGCTCACGGGAGCTTCATGCATAACAGCCCCAAATCGGAAACCATCCAAATTCCCGCCCCCTGGAGGACACCGTGATGAACTCCCACAGCGGATTCCACGCGGGGTGACAAAGAGGCTGCTGCTGCGTGGGCCAGGGACTGTCTCAGACGCGGCACTGAGCCAAAGCAGCCGAGAGCGCACACCGTGCGGCCCCATTGTTACCAGTTCAAACCCGGCAGAACTGAGCGGCGAGTGGCGAGCCGCCTCCTCTCTCCACGCCCTTGTGCCACCCCGGTCCCTGTGGAGCAGGCAAAGGACCAGGCCCTCCCGGGTCCACAGGGCAGTGGTTACCCCCACTGCCCGGCTGCAGATGGCGGGCGTGTGCCTCATGCCTGGAGTCTCATCTGCCGCCCAGTCCTTGGCCTGGTCTCATTGCCAGGTCACCTCCCTGCTCAATGCCCGCACCGCCTTTGTCAGGCCTTTACAGCAGAAGTGACTGAGGAGGAAGGGTGGGGACGCACACCGCTCACCTGAGCTATCAAGTCTCCGTTCTCCGCGTGGACCAGGCTCACAGCTCCCAGCCCCTTGAGGAAGCTGAAGGCTTCATAGAGCTGAGGGGGGACACACAGGGGTCAGTGGGGTAAGATTAGCAGCGGTGCCACCAGCTCTGGCCCCGGCGGGGGCCGCACGGCTGCTCCGTCGAGATCAGGGGATGTCTCGCTCAACAGGTGAGCCTCCGGGAGGGTCTGCCCTTGACCCTAAGAGGCTGGGCGGGCAGAGCTGGTCCACGTCCCAGCAGGGACTGCACCCTCCGTCTCCGTGCCTTCTGCTTGGAGCTCTCCATCCCAGCGCTGGAGAAGCCAGTGTGTAGTTTTACTGAACCCGTAACTAACCTGCTAAGCCCTGTCATCACCTCACACCTCGGAGGCCTGTGCCTCTTTGCAAAGCTGCAACCGTGTCATTTACAGACCTCGCAGGCAGGGGGCGTGCTCTCCCAGAACTGTGACACTGGGATGGCACACAACCCCTGCATCCCCTGGCCTTCCTGCTGCCAGGTCCTCCTCCGCCCATGAGGGAGCTGCAATCGACCTTCCTTCGCACAGTGAGGACCAACGCCGTCCCCCTCTCCAGGGCTCTGAATCCTAGCTTTGTTCTCCGCGTGTGCAGGACAACCCCCACCTCCCCGTGTGCGGTCAGGGGCACACCGCAGGGGGCACCGGGAGGCGTGAGCACTTTCGAGGCCCCGGACCCCGAGTCCGCTGGACTCCCTCTGCATCCGGGGCTGCAGAGAAACGGGCGGCGGGCCTACCTGGCTGTCGGACATCTGGTAGCGGTCCTTGTAGGCCATGTAGACCTGGAAGGAATTGACGCCTGTTGAAGAGAGAGAGGAACGCAGGTGAGAAACACGAGGTGTCTTTCCTGCAGGTCGGGGTTCACAGCGTGGGGTGGGCGCGGCCCGGACGGGAGGCGCCCCAGAATTCACAGGGGGCGTGCTCCGCTGCGCCCCAGCCAGCGCCCGTCCACAGCCGTGAGCAAGCAGCAACCGCTCGCTTTTATCCGTTGTGGGAAAATACAGACCAGAACATCTGCAACCCTAACCTGCCGACGACGACGTAAGAGGCGTCCAAACCTACGGCATATTCTTTATGAGCTTATGTGAGCCAAACGGGCAACATGCCGGAGAGCAAGATCTCAGATAAACTCTTACAAGAATTCCCTACAGGTCCGGGCGTTTCTTACGCTGAAATGCGCTTGGGGCGGTGGCAGGAATGGTTCCAGGATGGCTGGCCAGGGCATGTGCTCCCTGGGGCGGGCCTGTGGACGGTGAGCTAACCTGGAGGCACAGACAGGGGCGGGGCTGCCGAGGGCAGGGACACGCTCTCACTCACCGCAGGTGGTGAGGGGTGCGGTGGGGGAGGGGGGATCCGCATCTGGGGCGGATGGAGGGGACTTCACCCCGCTGCTTGGAAGAGCACACTTAAAACTCAGGAACTGCTCATTTCTGTAATTTTCCAGTTAATATTTGTGGGCCCTGCTTGACCGCAAAGAGCTGAAACCCTGGGAGGTGAAACTGCAGAGAAGCAGGGCTCCTGTGCAAACTGCAACTTTCCCTGGACCATGACTGCGGACAAAGCCAGTGTGGCTCCGGGGCCGCGCTGGAGGGCGATGCCTTCCTGATACGGAGAATCAGACACACAGACACCCTGCCTGACAGGGGGCTAAAGTACCATCGTACACACACACAGGGCAGCACATGCACAAAGCGTTCAACGTCAGCCATTAGAGAACGGCACGCACAAGGGGAGACGGACCCTCCCCTCAAATCCACAAGGGGGGCCCAGAAACAGCCACGCCCCAGGGCGCGAACACGCAGGGAGCGAGCGTGCCAGTGGGCGTACCTTTCAAGAAAGCTATTTGGCACTAAGTTTCCTGACCCTGAACAAGGTTAAAACCATGACCTCAGCCCTAGCTGGTGTGGGTCAGTAGATAGAGCGTTGGTCTGCAGACTGGAGGGACCCAGGTTTGATTCTGGTCAAGGGCACATGCCTGGGTTGCAGACTCCATCCCAGTAAGACAAATGCAGGAGGCAGCCAGTCAATGATTCTCTCTCATCAGTGATGTTTCTCTCCCTCTCCCTCTCTTTCTCTCTCTCTCCATTCCTCTCTGAAAACAACCTTGACCTCTTAATTTCACTTCTGGAAATCGAAGGAAATAATTAGAAATCCAATCACATAGGAAGATGTTCTCCATGTCATGGCTTTTAGAGAGAAGCAAACAGAAAACCCAGGTGCCCAATAAAAACGGAACAGCTACGCAGATGAACCGGGACCCTGTACATCTCGAGCCATTGAAAAAGTCATTAATGAAGAGTAACGATTACTCATCAAATGTGAAGTAGAAAGAGGAGGATTCCAAGTGACTGCTGTCACATAACCACGTAAGGAGAACCTCGTCTCCACAGACAGGGGATGGAGGGTAACACTTGTTACCCTGAAGGGCAAGTGGCAATTGGGAAGAGGACAAAAGGAAAGAAGATTTTGCCGTCTCATTTTCTGACTTTTCTGTATGTGGTATTGGTACTTTCATAATGAGAACACATAGCATATCTACCTAAAAACTGCAAACAGGGGAGAAACTAAGATGGCGGCAGAGATAAACACCGGGAAGTTGATGCCGCTCACAACAATTGATTAATACCTCAGAAAAACAATACGGACATCATCCAGAACCACAGGAAGCCTGGCTGACT